TTATTTTCTTGGTTGAAATTCCTCAAAGCTGCAGATTCACTGTTTCAGCAAACCTAGCAAACATAATCAAAATGTCAAATTAAAAAGAATCAAATTCAGAAGATTTACCTGTGGATCCTAGCACTGAACAGATACCTTCTTCATGTGTCAGTACCAACTGAGAAAGCCAGACCTTCGACAGTGAAGAACTGTGCATTTCAATAGAAGAAATGGAAGGGCTTAGACAAGATGGTCAGGGAAAAAAATAATGAAACCAAAGAAAAAGATCAACATCTACCAAGTGTTAAATCAGTAGTAGTTCACACCAGTGAGACCTCACCAACTGCTAGGATAATGACCTACAATACATCAGGTTGACCTTGGATGAAGAACTAAGTCCTTCTCAAAGCATCCATGCCACAATAGTTATGACAGTGGTCACCTAGGCCCTTAATTCAAGAGAGACTTCCTCTAACGCTTTACTGAAAAGAGGTTCTTTCATCTTGATCTAATTTAAGACCACAATCCCTTTAAGTGAAAAATTGGAAATCTAATCCAAGCGTAAGTACAGCCAAGTTTAGAAACTAGTAATTAATGATAAATTGACTGGTGATACAAGGTTTTAAAAGGGATTGTTAAAAGAGGACAATTTTGCTAATATTTGGTAAGTTTTTTTATTTTGTATTATTGAAAGTGGTAGGCCAGTTACCTAAACAAGAGCGAATGTATGGGGAATTATAATAATTGGCTTGTAAAGGAAATATATCTCTGTTAGGCCTGGTGATGTGTGCACAACTTAGTTATGTTTGTTGAGTTGATGTAATTTAAATGTTTTGGGGTTGTTTTTTAAAAAAATGTTTTAAATCATTTATTATCTTGGTATGTATCTACGTAATTTATTTACATGCTGACAATGAAGCAATTGAATTTATTAAAGATTTTGTACACCTTGGTTAAATCACTAAATGGAGACTGCAGCCAAGAAATCAGAAGAAGACTGAGACTAGGAAGGGCAGCAGTGAAGAAATTAGAAGAGATTATCAAGTGTGAGGATGTGTCAGCGGAGATGAAGACCAAGATCATCCACACTATCATATTTCCAGTCACATATGGGTGTGAAAGCTGGACAGTAAAGAAAGTTGACAGGGGAAAATTTGATTCATTCAAAATGTGGTGCTGGGGGAGACCTTTGCAGATTCCCTGTACTGCCAGAAAGATGAACATGTCAATCCTAGCTCAAATCAATCTGGAACTATCTCTAGAAAAAAAATGTTAAAACAGTCTGTCATGCTTTGCAGACATCATGAGAAGGCAAGATTCTATGGAAAAGAAAATAATGTTGGGAAAGGTTGAAGGCAGCAGGAAAAGAGGAAGACCAAATATGAGATGGGTTGACTCCTTAAAGGAACCCACAGGCTTGAATTTCCAAGCATTGAGCTGGGCTTTTGGAGGGCAATCATTCATGTGGTCACCCTAAGTGAGAAGCAACTTGATGGCACATAATAACATCAAAAATTCTCCCCACCCCATTTCGTGATCTTTGTCATTGGTGTTGACAGTTAATGAAATCTTCTTTTGAACCTTTGGCAACATCAGACTTAAGGTTACTGTGAAAACAATGTTTTGGTTATGATAGGAAAGTCAATAAACTGCATTGTTAGAAGGTTTGTGGCATTTTATATTTCAAGGACAAAAGACATTATGAAGTCCACAACACTTTTTGTCTGTTATCAATACCCCTATAAAGCACAGTGAATGTCATCCCAATGCTTGGCCAAGTAAGCAACTATGTCAATTAGATCGGCATATGACACAGCCAAACTATCCCCTACCAGGTTCTCGCTAGAATCATTCTGCTAGGGAGATACCTCTTTTGGCGTATCTTCTGTGCTGGAGTGACATCCCACCATCTGGTAAGTGAGCTTGTCAGTCACCCATGATTGTGAATGACAGAGACAACAAAGAATGAGGACAAGTTGCTTACCTGTAACTAGTTCTTTCAGTGGTCATTTGTGAATCCACACAACCTACCATCCTCGCAACTCTTGTCATGCCTATCAATTTCTGGAGACCAGAGAGAATCAGACTGAGAGGGAATTGCTGGACATGCATGAAAAGGGTAGGTAAAGAAAAAACATTAGAGGCTGTTCAGCTCTCCAAGTTTCTGTGGTCTGTTTTGTGCAGATCCAAGAATTTGTGTATGAATTTAGAGATGAGCATTCAACGAATTGCTGTTACAGGTAGTGAATCTGTCTTCTCAGCTGGCTTGCCACTCCAAACAGTTTTACATACACATCAGGCTTAGTGTGATGTGTATGTCTTATTTTTGATAGGCCTTTATTTCTGTCTACATTTGACCCTAATTTAGAACTTGCTGATATATTTCAGACAAATGGGAATGGGAAAAACAAATTAGTTTTGCTTTGTTCCTTCTCATGTTTTTTAAAATAAGGAAAGTTGGACTACAGAATAAGCTTCTGTAATTATTTGGAGCTTATAAATCATATCACAGAATAACCTCTGCAAGTTCTACTTCTTGTGCACTGCAGCAAGGGCCATAAGTGTGAGTCGCTGACAGTCCCCCCCTTCTTGCATTTGTATTATGTATAGATCTGGTTATATTATGCAGTGCATATTGTGTATTCATCTTTAGAATATAACATGTGAATGGTTGGTACATAAACAGGAGAGAATTATAAAAAACCAAGATCCCTGGAACTAAATATGTAACTGTAAATTAGAGATGACCAAGTGGACTTTGGACAGGATTATGTCCAGAACATAATTTGGTAACTCATTCTAATATTAACTAAAATATTAATTCTTGCATATTGTACTGTATCTGGCTCAGCTAACAAGAAATGTGGCTGTGGGAAATATCTTCACTTCATCTGTCCTTATCACAACTCTTAAACTTACCAAGTGTGGAGTACATGGAGGGAAATGACCAGGGAACTCCAAAATTGTCTACCATGAGAATAGAGGTGCCCAGCAAGGGTCAAAGTGCTTCTTTACCCTTGTGTGTCTCACAGGCTTTGTATACAGTAGGTACATAGGGTAACACCAAAGTAGAGGAGAGAACAAATGAAATTCAGCTTTCATATTGTTGCCCTATGAATGTCAAAACAAATTATGGCAACTGGTATGAGATTGGTATCGTAACATTAAGCAACTTGTTTTGGAACTATTGAGTCTCTGAGACTTAGGAGGTTGGCCATCCTTGATGTAAAGCATAGATCCAGGTCAGTTATCTGCTTTTTACCTATGCTTTTGTCTGTCTTCTTCTCCTGATCTCTTAAAATAACCACTTTATACAAGTTTGATAAGGTGAGTGCTGAATTTCTAGCTAAATTTCTTGGAACAAAGTACTGTACAGAAGAACAGAAGATACAAAGATAATGGCTAAAATCTTGTTGCTTAACATAAGTTGCACTAGAGTAAGCCCATTGAATTATAGAGATATGGTGAGTTGGCTCCCACATAAGATCTATTGATTCAAATGAGCTTATTCTAATTGTGACTTTCTGCTGTAAGTTGCAACTAGAATATGCCCATTTGAATCAATGAATTTTCAAGAGTTGACACATGAAACCCCCAATGATTCAGTAGAGGTACTCTATGATTTAACTACACTAAGCAATAGTATTTCAGCCAATATATCATATGAAAGTTTGCTTCAAATGCCACATTAGTTAAAACATCATCCATTGAGAATTATGCAGTGCTTAATACATGTTGCCACTGGAGGAAGCAAAACTATCACATTGTACAGCATAAATTTTCCATGAAAAACGTAAATTAGTTTCTTAAAGCACAATTAAACCAACTGAGATTTTCTTCAGCAAGTTTTGTATCTACAGCAATATTGTAGAATCCACTATTGCAACTTATAATGGCAATCCTGATGACAGCATGGTTGTTTAACAAATACTCCAGATTGTGATTATCACATCAATTATCATATAACAAACTTCTGTGCCAGAAGCACAGAAGGATTTTTTCTGAGAGTTTCTTAAGCTGTCAAGATCATTGTCTTTCTTCTGAATAAATGTTTGCTAGAGGATTGTGAGTGTTAATAGAGTAAAAATGAAAAACAATGGAACACTGTGTTCTGCTTTATAACATGCAGAGCTAATTTTGTTGCTGAGTAATTTAGACATTGCAATAAATCGATAAATTCAGTTATAGTGGTGGAATAAACCAGGGGGGGTGAATTTTCAGTCACATTTTGCCATATCCCATTGGTTACAATCAGTTACATAGACTGCCCAAGGAACATGACTCCTGTGGAAGCTAAAAACTGCTATCAGTTGAGGATTGGATTTTTTTTTTATCAAACTAAACAAGGTAGATGAATGAAATGGTAAAGTTCTGGACTACATACGTGCTTCACATAAAACAAAAATATCCAGATGTAGTAGATTTGCATACCATGGAAAAAGTTTTATCAGTAATTTACTAATTAACTAAATGCAGAGACCTCTGAACTTGCATTTTTGATAATGCAGTACCCCACCTGACGTTTGAACTGGTATAATCCAGAATTCTGATTTGCAATGTGGAGAAATGTAAAGATTCTCGGCTCAGTCATAAACTGTGAGCACCTAAGCGTAATGTACTATTCTATATCACAGACTCACCAAAATGCTATTATAATTCACTTGCCCTCTGCTGATAGTAGTTCATTGTTGGTTATTTTTCTATTACCTTTTTTACTCTTTACGTTTGCATTCTGTTTATTTTCCTACAACTGTAGAGCATTTGGGAGTCCTTATGGTTACAGAGATACATTAAATGGATAAATACATTGTGTCTACTTAGGAAGTTGAAACTCAGAGGAACACAAGCAGCAACCTGTACCTCAGAATAAAAATGTAGGATGAACAGCAAGGTGTGCTGCTATTGAAGCCATGAGCCTGCTGTCTTCGCTATATATCTATATCATATCATTTCTTTATTAAAAGTCTTTAAAGTTTTTTTTTTAACATGTAGCATTTAATTTTTCCCCCTCTCTCTGATAGAATTTTGCCAAATCTATGGCTAGGAAGTTGCCCTCGACAGGTGGAACATGTGACTGTGAAGCTAAAACATGAGTTGGGTGTTACAGCAATCATGAACTTCCAGACTGAATGGGATGTTGTTCAGAATTCCTGGGGGTGCAACCGCTATCCAGAACCAATGAGCCCAGAGGTTCTCATGAAGCTGTACAAAGAAGAAGGCCTTGCTTATGTCTGGATGCCAACACCAGACATGAGTACTGAAGGTAATGTCTATATTCCACCTCTAGTAGTTGTCCAAGAATAATCCATCCAGGAATACAGCTGCATTGTGTGATTCATTTGGTTTTTGCCTCCACATCGCTTGGCAGGTTATCCTCCATTCAGTCTATCATAGAGCAGACATTTAGTTCATAATATTCTGGGAGTGTATCGCTTGGCAGGTTATCCTCCTGTCATAGAGGAGACATTTAGTTCATAATATTCTGGGAGTGCTCTATGGTTCTAACAAACAGCTGTTATACAGAAATGCTGAGTTAAATCATTATTATGGTTAACTATGCTCCGAACATTCCTGGAATATGCTGAATACACTTAATATTCAAGAGTACTTTGTTGTAGAGATTGACAGTCTTGGTAGAGATATGAAGCCATACATATCTACAGGATTATAATTTGCTTTTATCGTAGTACTCAAAATATACAATGATTTATTCCAGAGTGTGGGATGTTGCTGCCATCAAGGATAACTACAAAGAGCATCTCAAAGGTAGTGTAGTATACTTTCCCCACTCTATTTTTTTCTTCTGCTCCAAGAACTGATTGTGCCAAAAAGCTGTCAAAGAATCACAACTGATTAAGGTCACTCAGAATGACTTTAATGCATTTGCTGAGTTTTTATGGGCCATCAGATCATCTCTGACTCATGGCAACCCTGTGGATATCTCCAAAATGTCCTGTCCTCAATAGCCCTGCTCAGCTCTTGCAAACCCAAGCCTGTGGGTTCTTTTAGGGAGTCAGTCCATCTCATATTTGGTCATCATCTTTTCCTGCTGCCTTCCACCATTCCCAGCATCATTGTCTTTGTGGGAAAAATTGAAGGCACAGAGATAAAAGTGAAGTAATAAGGTAATAAACTTTATCTAAAACTCTTAGGAAAAAGTAAATAGGACATTCATAGAAAAACAAGAAGCTGCACAGAGCCTCATGGTGCAGTGGTTGAACAGCTGTACTGCAGACAAATCTGTTTACAACCCAGGGTTCAATCCCAGGTAGCCAGCGCAATGTTGACTCAGCCTTCCATTCTTCTGAGGATGGTAAAATGATTACCCAGCTAGCTGAGGGGGGCAATGTGTAGCCTGCATAATTAACCTGTATACCATCCAGAGAGTGCTTAAAGTGCTACGGGGCGGTATATAAGCAGCACATTTTGCTTTGCTAAACCTACACATTTCATCTAAGGAACAGACTAACAAAACATTTCAAAATAGTAAAAACAAGTAGGCCAATGGCGGCTCAATGGCAAGCACACACAGTCTCTGCCTCACTCTGTCTGTTGCTATGCAACAGTGTGTATCTCCATCAGGCAAAAGCAATTAACCCTTTTTAAAGAGCCTTGCTGGGAAAAGAGAGATAACTCTTTGGCTATAAAGTAGGTTGTACTTTCAGGTGAGGTCTTCTCCAGTTAAGACAAACACATTAACCAAATAGAGACTGGAATGTAGATCTTGCCATATCCCAACAGTCTTTTCAAGAGCATCCTGCCTTCTCATGATGTTCCCAAAGCTGGAGAGCCTCAGTTTCATCATTTTTGCCTCTAAAGCTAGTTCAGGATTGATTTTGTCTAGGACCCACTTGTTCACCTTTCTGGCAATCCAAGTTATTCACAAGCTCTCCTCCAGCACCACATTTCAAACAAATCAACTTTTTTCCTGTCAGCTTTCTTTACTGTCCAGCTTTCACACCCATACATAGTGGTTGGAAATACAATAGTGTGGATGGTCTTGGCCTTGATCTCCAGTGACACTTCTAATTCCTTCACTGCTGCCCTTCCTAGTCTCCGTCTTCTTCTGATTTCTTGGTTTTAGTCTCCATTTGGGTTGATGATTGAACCCAAGATGTAGAAAATCTTTAACAAATTCAATTGCTTGCCTTATTTTGTTTTGCTATCTAGGGTGGAGCATAACATTTATTTTTAACGTCATCACTATTGGTCATAGTTGTCGTGCAAACGCTGGTAAGTGTAGCATACATCTTTCCAAAAACTGGGAGTCTATGAGTGATTAGGCAGTCTTTGACACCTTTTAGGAAGCTGTTAGGTTTACTCACAATCTGGTTCTGAATAGCAAAACCACCTCCTGTTTCACAACACACCTCTTCAGGGCAGACACCCCATAAGAAGGTGTAGCCAGCACCAACATCTTTTAGTTGTCTTTCTGGGAGGTGTGTTTCACTAAGGGCAATGATGTCATCATTACTGTAGCAACCAAGTTCTCTGGCCACAGGTACCAGTCTTTTATCAGGTTTGTTACTCCCAGTGTTAACTAAAAGGGAGCAAACTTTCTATGCCCCGAGATCATAATTGAGATAGATTTTCTTCACATCAGGCTCAGAAGGAGTTGGAAATGTTTGTGAAAAAGGGGAGAAGGGCTGCTTCTTATTTTAGGGTGGGGGGTTTGGGTTGGGGGCTTAAAGGAAAATCCCAAAAGACATTAAAATGAAACCTGCCACTTTAGGATCATTTTTTAAAAATTAAATTTTGATCATTTCTTAGTGCTCAGGGGGCAGAGGCAATTCTTGATACAAAAAATTATGTTATGCTACGTTATGTTTTTGGACTGAGGATCTATGGAGGCGCTGCTGGTGTGGGGGCTCCAAGAATGGCTAGGAGAGGCATACAGCTCAAAGTGTGAAATTGCCCATTCATTTTGTAGGAGGATGCTGTGCCTTGGCGCTGTTTGTGCTTTCTTTAATTCCCTTGTTTTGCTTGAATCTTCCCCAGTATGTTGTAGGAGAGGTCCTACATGTCCTTTGACTGTTTGCCTGTAGCGTCTTCTCTCTGCTGTGCTGCCCACAGCCTAATTTATTACTAGTCTATGTTCAGTTTTCTTAAAGGTACCTCTTAGAAGAGCATCTTATCTTCTAAAAACACAAATGATGAGCATTGCACCACCTTTATTTATTTATTTATTTATTTATTTAATTTATATCCCGCCTATCTAGTCGTGGTGGACTACTCTAGGCGGCCTATTCTCTGTGGGAATATCTGTTTTATTTTAAAAAATTAATCATCTTAAACTAAAACATGATGCAGTAAATTCTTCTTCCTTAATATAAATCTTCTAAAAACACAAATGATGAGCATTGCACCACCTTTATTTATTTATTTATTTATTTATTTAATTTATATCCCGCCTATCTAGTCGTGGTGGACTACTCTAGGCGGCCTATTCTCTGTGGGAATATCTGTTTTATTTTAAAAAATTAATCATCTTAAACTAAAACATGATGCAGTAAATTCTTCTTCCTTAATATAAATTATAAAAAACATTGCACCATCTCTGTGGGAATATCTGTTTTATTAAAAAAATTAATCACCTTAAACTAAATGCAGTAAATTCTTCTTCCTTAATATAAATTATAAAAATTGCTACTTACATATTTAATCAACAGTTATTTTGTATTACATGCACTGCAACCGACATACACATTAAATGAAATGTTGACAGTCAGATTCCACAATCCAGCAAAGAAGATTAACATATGGAAGTAGGTTTCTGCTTGCATAGCTAATTTGGATCTTGATTTGCATCTAGATTGCCTTCTACTTTGCAATACTCATTCACTCTTCACTGAAACAACTAGATTCTTTGATGCAGATTAGAATGTACATCACTACCAAAGCAGTAGATTGTTGAGTATCTGTTGAAGACCACAATTATAGTTGGGCCAAACATCATATAATTTTTTTTTGTACAAGAAGTAAAAAATATCAACAACCGTAATAAGCAACCTGAACCCATTTTGAGGGATAGGGAGATTAACCAGGTGGGGTCTGAGATCTTCCCCAGCTGCAAATAAAGACTTCTACTTCCAAACAGTAAACTTGTTGTGTCATTACTTTGTTGTTAATGTTGTGCTAAAGGGTTTTAAAAAAGAAAATAAATAATAAGCAACCTGAACCAATTTTGAGGAATAGGGAGATTAACCAGGTGGGGTTTGAGATCTCCCCCAGCTGCAAATAAAGACTATCTATCTATCTATCTATCTATCTATCTATCTATCTATCTATCTATCTATCTATCTATCTATCTATCTATCTATCTATCTATCTATCTATCTATCTATCATCTTTTAGTTGTCTTTCTGGGAGGTGTGTTTCACTAAGGGCAATGATGTCATCATTACTGTAGCAACCAAGTTCTCTGGCCACAGGTACCAGTCTTTTATCAGGTTTGTTACTCCCAGTGTTAACTAAAAGGGAGCAAACTTTCTATGCCCCGAGATCATAATTGAGATAGATTTTCTTCACATCAGGCTCAGAAGGAGTTGGAAATGTTTGTGAAAAAGGGGAGAAGGGCTGCTTCTTATTTTAGGGTGGGGGGTTTGGGTTGGGGGCTTAAAGGAAAATCCCAAAAGACATTAAAATGAAACCTGCCACTTTAGGATCATTTTTTAAAAATTAAATTTTGATCATTTCTTAGTGCTCAGGGGGCAGAGGCAATTCTTGATACAAAAAATTATGTTATGCTACGTTATGTTTTTGGACTGAGGATCTATGGAGGCGCTGCTGGTGTGGGGGCTCCAAGAATGGCTAGGAGAGGCATACAGCTCAAAGTGTGAAATTGCCCATTCATTTTGTAGGAGGATGCTGTGCCTTGGCGCTGTCTGTGCTTTCTTTAATTCCCTTGTTTTGCTTGAATCTTCCCCAGTATGTTGTAGGAGAGGTCCTACATGTCCTTTGACTGTTTGCCTGTAGCGTCTTCTCTCTGCTGTGCTGCCCACAGCCTAATTTATTACTAGTCTATGTTCAGTTTTCTTAAAGGTACCTCTTAGAAGAGCATCTTATCTTCTAAAAACACAAATGATGAGCATTGCACCACCTTTATTTATTTATTTATTTATTTATTTAATTTATATCCCGCCTATCTAGTCGTGGTGGACTACTCTAGGCGGCCTATTCTCTGTGGGAATATCTGTTTTATTTTAAAAAATTAATCATCTTAAACTAAAACATGATGCAGTAAATTCTTCTTCCTTAATATAAATTAGAAAAATTGCTACTTACATATTTAATCAACAGTTATTTTGTATTACATGCACTGCAACCGACATACACATTAAATGAAATGTTGACAGTCAGATTCCACAATCCAGCAAAGAAGATTAACATATGGAAGTAGGTTTCTGCTTGCATAGCTAATTTGGATCTTGATTTGCATCTAGATTGCCTTCTACTTTGCAATACTCATTCACTCTTCACTGAAACAACTAGATTCTTTGATGCAGATTAGAATGTACATCACTACCAAAGCAGTAGATTGTTGAGTATCTGTTGAAGACCACAATTATAGTTGGGCCAAACATCATATAATTTTTTTTTGTACAAGAAGTAAAAAATATCAACAACCGTAATAAGCAACCTGAACCCATTTTGAGGGATAGGGAGATTAACCAGGTGGGGTCTGAGATCTTCCCCAGCTGCAAATAAAGACTTCTACTTCCAAACAGTAAACTTGTTGTGTCATTACTTTGTTGTTAATGTTGTGCTAAAGGGTTTTAAAAAAGAAAATAAAAGCAGACTTGAGATACCACAATCAGAAGACCTCTAGTTGGAGGAATGGGGACTTAACTCTTTACTCACCTGCCATTACAGCACATAGCCTTTTATTGTTGACTCATATGAATGCATGATCTCATTATTTCCAGATTCAGAGGAACACATATACTGAATATTTTAGTCTTCTCTGCATCATTATCATCAACCTTTAGGCAATTGCCAAAGGGCAGTGTCAAGTAACACGAGACATTTCAAAAATAAATCATTCCAAAGTTTCTACTCTTTCTTCCTTACTCATCCCTTCTGTTTACATGCTTTCACTGGCAGAATATGTGTGAGTGTGTACATGCACACTGACTTTAACTGGATTGCAGACCTCTTTAGTCAAACTCCCCCCCCAATTGCTTTAGCTCTTTCCTTCTCATGAAAAAAAGTATCTTCTTTCCCATACTGCTCTTCCTTCTCCTTTGTACACCAATACTTACTCACCAGAGTATTCCTGTCAGTATTCATTTCTACTAACATAGAAATGAAGCTAATTAAATGTTTGAAGATGTCAGTTTCATAATTATGGTCATTGAATTGTGACAGCTAAAGAGCAATATTTTTAGTTTGGTTGTAAGATGTTTGAATCATATCAATATCATTTCCCAAGCCAGTTTTTAAAAGTATTGATTACAATACACATTACAATGTAATAAGGGCTGACGGAACCCTGGTGGACAAGAGATGACTACTTTGTCTGCAGTCACAGGTAAAAAAATTCCATACCTGCCGTTTAGATGAAATGCCTAACAGAAGAGACTACAAAGTGCTCAAGGATCAAAAGCTATTAAAAGTTGATTATCACTTGGCCCAGTTGGAACTTTGGGAGAACCAGTTTGGAAACATACTAAACCAAGTGTTTAAGCTGAGAAATCAGTGGTATTTCAAATACAGAAGACCTACCATCAAAACATATCTTTTATGGAATTACAGTGGTGCCTCGCTTAATTAATTAATTAATTGTTCCAAAAAAACATCGCTATGGGAAACACCATTTCCCCACCTCGCTTAATTAATTAATTAATTAATTGGTTAAAAAAAAAACATCGCTATGGGAAACACCATTTCCCATAGGAATGCATTGAAAACTGGTTAATCCGTTCCAATGGGAACAGATTACCGTCCTTAAGTGAAAATCGCCATAGGAAACATCGCTAAGCTAAACAATGTTTCCCCCATTGGAATGCATTGAAGCCTATTCAATGCATTCCAGTGGGGGAGAAAAAAATTCACCAAAAATTAACGAAGAGTCAGAACAAAGCCAATTTAAGTTTGCAAAGATTTTACAAGGTGCACTAATGATCCCAAACATTTAAAACAGTTTTTGAACATTTTAAGACACTTTTAAATTAGCGAAAACGGACATCGTTAAGCGAAACAGGGGGACCTAAACTGTCATTGTTAAGTGAAGCAAGGTCCCAAAATCGCTAAGCAAAAATCGCCCATAGAGAACATTGTTAAACGATGCAGAAAATTCCTCAAAAAAACCCATCGCTAAGCGAATACATCATTAAACGAGGCAATCACTAAGCGAGGCACCACTGTATTAGTTCTCTCTGAAATGAGTCTTATGTAATAATGCATTCTTTTATGTTTATGAGTGATACTAGCAGATCATTTTTAATGTCTGTGGACTTCCATGTGTACCATAAGGATAGTTTGTACATTCCAGACCTGATTTTTGTAGGCTCTCTGTGTTTGAAAGATTCCTATGGATAGATTAATTATATCTCCAGCTCCTGAGCCCTTGAGCCCTCTGTCCTGCATTGCCTCCTAAATTACTGCCATCCTCTTCATTATGCATGCAAAAAGGAAATGTTGTAACATTCATTTGTTTCTGCTATGACTTACCATGTTACTTGCATTGATTATTGAATGTGCACCAAACCAGTGGATATGTGCACCTTGAAGTATCCCAGCAGTGACTTACAAATTGCCAACTAGAATGTTAAGGTCTACATGTTTTACAAAGTTACAGGATTTCAACCAACAGGAGAACTCTGTGTGTGTGTGTGTGTGTATGTGTGTGTGTGTGTGTTGGTCTGAATAGGCCTAGTTACTACCATTGAGCAACTCACAAAAACATTGCTTCCCTAATACCATGGTAGGAATTATTGGGCAGCATAAAAGAGATTAGAGATATATACAGTATATGAATAATTAGAATGGTGAAAGTGGATGAAACATGATGCTATACTGTCACAAGAAGAAAAATAAGAACAAATTGTTAAGATTAGTGATACAGTTATTGAATAGTATCCAGTATGGTTTTAAATAATTGCCTAGTGTTTGTTTGGCTTCAGCCTAGAATGGAAATTCAAATTGTACATTTCAAGGTCTCTGATTGCAGTAAGGGTGAACACATTCAGTATCCTTTGCATGGCCAAATCTTTTAACAGCAGTATGGGTTAGACCCAGCCAACAAACTCAAAATCTCTTGTTTCTCCAAATGTTTGGCCAGTCACTATCTGACCAAGTGTCAGACTACAGTTCCCATTGTCCCTAGCCACATCACTGGCCATGCTGACTGGGGTAGTAAGAACTGTAGTCACACACATCTGAGGAGTAAATTGAGAAAGGATGATGTAAAGCAATGCATATAATTACAGGTCACAAGTGGAAAAGGCAGCCCTTTTTAATAACATTCGATCAGTGAACATTTTTATTCTCTATGTATTTAAAATTCCTGCACAGTAGATGCAGCCTTTCAAAGACTTTGATTTTAAAGCAAAACAAATTGTAAAAACATCTCAGTGTTCCTCACTTCTCTGTTTTGAAGGGGCATGCATGTGACAATTGTTCTGTTTTTAATCGCAGGTAGAGTACAGATGTTGCCTCAGGCTGTCTGTCTCTTGCATGCGCTGCTGGAGAACGGGCATACAGTCTACGTTCATTGCAATGCAGGTGTCGGCAGGTCTACAGCTGCAGTCTGCGGCTGGTTGAAATATGTGCTGGGATGGAACTTGAGGAAAGTGCAGTATTTTGTGGCCTCTAGGAGAGCAGCAGTCTACATTGATGAAGAAGCCCTGGTGCGTGCCGAGGAAGATTTTTTTCAGAAATTTGGCCCTCTTCGCTCCTCATGCAAACCTTAGCAAAAGCAGAAGTTGTTGTAAGTGCTGCTTTTGAGTGGGGAGTGGGGGTGGGGGTGGGGAATTGTGAACCTGCCTCCAAAAAAAGAAGAAAAAAAGAAATTCAGTATCTGATGATGATGATGATTCTGAATCTTTCTGAATTTGTTTTTTGCATTTTGATTTTGCAAAGCAATCACAACTTTGATTTGATTAAATACGTGTGCAGTGGTCAAGAGGACTGTGATTGTGTAGCCATATTAGGAAAAGTATAATCACATTGATTAACTGTTTGGAACATTGATTAGCTGTTTGGAATGGGAGTTAGGAGGAACTGAGTCGAGACTGTCCATTCCCCCCCCCCCACTTCACAACAGTTGATCAATACCTATTGTACATTTTCTAACAGAAGCACACAACTGCAGCTGGACCAGGAAAGGAATGGAAAATGTATTTATTTATTTTTCATTTTATATCCTTCTTTTCTGCCAAAAAAGAAAAGCACTCAAGGTGTCTGACGGCAATAAATACAGACAAAAAATACAGGTGAAACATCAAACCGGATTTAAAATACAGCTGAGAAAACATTAATAGAGAGAAACAGTAGCACCCCATTAATCAAAGTGGCCTTTAAAATACCCAGCAAAGCAACCCAAGACCTATCTGAATAAAAGTCCTGTGACTTGCTAGTAGAAGAATAAAAGAGAGAAGACCAGGCTTGTCTCCTTTGGTAAAAAGTTCCAGAGTTTGGGAGCAGCCACCAAAAAAGCTCTCACATGTCTCTACCAATCTGTCTCCAAAGACAGTGAGATTAAGAGAAGGTACTCTCTGGAAGATGTTAACACTAGGGAAGACTCAAATGAGAGAATATAGTCTTTTAGATGATTCAGTCCCAAACCACATATGGCTTTATAGCAAAACAAAACATTTGAAGTGCATCAGAAAATAGAGTGCAAATGAAAGAAAATACTGTACATGGGAGGGAAACAGAATGTTTCAGAAAGATTGCTTCTTACAATAAACCTGCAAACCTTAACAGATTTTCTTCCTTTTCTAGACAGGCTGGATTATTTTGTCCTTTTAAAGGAAACCTTTATCTGAGTCTTTGCAAATGGAAATTGTAATAAAGTAGAATTAATGAGAAAAATAAAGAATCTGTGTATCACTGTCATCAGCACATTCATTTTTCTGAGGCATACAGTGTGTTATCTTACAGCATGTTTAAAAGTGACATCTCTTCTACTTTGTATATTTTAGAATTTCAGAATTAAAAAGAATAATCTCTGTCGTATGGATTTAACATACTGAAAGTAGGAGTTTTAATTAGGTTAATCCGGATCCTAATATTTCTGAGGTGGGAATTTTTTTTTTTTTTACCATTTCAGATCCTGCTTCAAAAAGACCTGTGGAGTTTCACTTAGGATGAGTGTAGGATGCCGAGGCTTTGCTCTGGTGCTTTTTGACTTCATGTATGTTATCCCTCCATCCTACCCTTTCTGTCTTGTTGTTGCTCTAGGTAGAGCTAGTGGGCATGACGAAACCACTTTCTGCCTGTCCAATGATGTCCATGGTTCCCTAAATGGTAATGCTTGTAGAAGACTATCACAACTTGTATGGTTACTTTGTAAAATTACTGTACAGTAGTTCCAAAGTAGCTAGAACAGTGCACACTGGATTCAGCCAAATACTAACCATAATGAAGCTGTTTCTGTAGGTCCACGGCAGCAGCACAGCAGAACAAAAAGCCCAGGGCCAATCACAGTAAAAAGCAATACAGTACCCTCAAGGATAGCCCTGACTAAATCCAGGATTTGGAGAATTAGATTTTTTTTAAAGCACAGCACAATTGAAAGCAGGGAATGAAAAGAGAAACTGATCAACACCTTCAGTGGAAGATGCTGTGATGGCCTGAGAGGATAGCAACAGAGAAGGAGACAGCTTCATACACATACACAGTGCAGCCCAAAGACCTCTCCAGCACCCTCCAATCACCGAGGTGCTGTAGACGGTCTCTGAATGACTGCACCAGGACGCATATTCCTTTACAGATCCTTCCCACAGATGTTCCCACAGATTTCTGGCCTAGCTATGCAAAGTGACAAGATAGTACAGTGGTGCCTCGCACACGCTGTGTGAAAACATCGCTGAACGGGGCAGAAAAGCCCATTGGAATGCATTAAACTTTGTTTAATGCGTTCCAAAAGGCTCCTTTACTCACTGTTCAGCGATGTTCCTCTATGGCCGGCAACCATTTTCGCGCCCTCCCCTTGCTTAACAAGGGCGCGAAAACGCTGCGCGGCCATTTTGGGGCTTCCGGCAGCCATTTTGTAGCCGCTGAACAGCTGACCGGCGGGTCGCAAAGCAAAGGTCAGTAAGCGAACTGCTTACCGACCTTCGCTCGGCGATTTTCACCCTATGCAGTCACCGTTTGCGATCGCAAAACCGGCCTCGTAGAGCGAATTCATCGCTCTACGAGGCACCCGTTGTGCCAGGCACCACTGTATCATTTTCTATTAGTACTATTGGGGGTGGGACTTCCTGCTGTAAAAGAGCATGTCCCAGGACCCTGGACTCTTTTCCCTAGGAAGCTGGGCTGAGGGCGAAGGCCAGGTCTGTTTGCATGGATGCCATGCTGAGTGGCCAGCATGAATAAACACTTTCCTAAACCTTTAAGATTAAAAATTTGTAAGAGGAAAGTACAGTGGTGCCTCGCACAGCGAGGTTAATGCGTTCCGGATTAACCCTCGCTGTGTGAAAACATCGCTGAACGGGGCAGAAAAGCCCATTGGAACGCATTAAACTTCGTTTAATGCCTTCCAAAAGGCTCCTTTACTCACCGTTCAGCGATGTTCCTCTATGGCCGGCAACCATTTTTGCGCCCTCCCCTTGCTTAACAAGGGCGCGAAAACGCTGCGTGGCCATTTTGGGGCTTCCGGCGGCCATTTTGTAGCCACTGAACAGCTGATCGGCGGGTCCCAAAGCAAAGGTCGGTAAGCAAACTGCTTACCGACCTTCGCTCGGCGATTTTCACCCTATGCAGTCACCGTTTTGCGATCGCATTTGCGATCGCAAAACCGGCCTTGTAGAGCGAATTCATCGCTCTACGAGGCACCCGTTGTGCGAGGCACCACTGTATCATTTTCTATTAGTACTATTGTAATGGCTGGGCCTCCACTGTGTTATCTAGTTTTTGATTATTTTATCCCACTTAGTTAAACTACTAGGGCTGAGTGGGTTTAGATTAGAAATTCACTTTGGGATCTGTAACGTTCAGCCCTGCCCTCACCTGTCCGTCACAGCTGGGCAGTGGAACAGCAGCCAATGAGGGGACGGAAGGTGGTGCAGAAGTGGGACGAGCTGGGATATATAAGGTGTGTGTGAATCTAGTTTTTGATTATTTTATCCCACTTAGTTAAACTACTAGGGCTGAGTGGGTTTAGATTAGAAATTCACTTTGGGATCTGTAACGTTCAGCCCTGCCCTCACCTGTCCGTCACAGCTGGGCAGTGGAACAGCAGCCAATGAGGGGACGGAAGGTGGTGCAGAAGTGGGACGAGCTGGGATATATAAGGTGTGTGTGATGTGTGAAGGGAGTTCTGTGAGTCTGAGAGACAGTGTGCCAGAAAGTCAGTGAGAGTTAGAAGCTGTGTGTTAGTGAGTTCAGTGAGTGAGAGAAATTGATTATCAACTAGTGATTTACTTATTATATTTTACTGATCAAATAAACAAGTTTAAGTGTGTTAAAGAAACACTGGCCTCATTGATTAATTGGAAATACTGGTGGCAGCTACCTGAGTAGAAGAGTGAGCACATACTGGAGGCCTGAGTTATTGTAGGCTCCAGTGTGCCCGTTACATGATCTTAGAATCTGTTTCCATACTCCTGCCCTTTGGTTTCTCTTGTGGTAGTGGTGTTTACAGTAGAAGAGTTAGAAACCAAGGCCCGTGTCATTATCAGAGGCATTTTCTGAGAAGCAGATGGAATGGAGGGGAAAGCAATGCCTGTTAAATTCTGTGCTTGCACTCATACACCAATACCCAAACATTTATTTATATATTTCTAGAAATCAGTGTCACATTTTTCCTTCTTGGTCATGATGGTCTCCCAGTGAACACTGAGCCCAGTATATGATCATTGGCTCAGACATGAGATCAGGCCCTATCAGGGCTGGCCCAAGATGATTTGCTTTTATTGGGGACTGATAAATGGTGATACCCCAGATGTACATTATAAAAGCAAAGTACATTGTACTAAAGGTTGATACATTATATTTAATGCCATAACCAGAAAATAAAACATATCTAGTAAACCAAGCACAAATAATGGTCTGAAGCTCAACATCAAAAAAACTAAGATCATGGCCCCTTGGTCCCATCACCTCCTGACAAATAGAAGGGAAAGATATGGAGGCAATGACAGATTTTACTTCCTTGGGCTCCATGATCACTGCAGATGGTGACTGATCCCACAAAATTAAAAGACGCCTGCTTCTTGGGACGAAAGTGATGACAAACCTAGAAAGCATCTTAAAAAGCAGACAAAGGTCCGCATAGTCAAAGCTATGGTTTTCCCAGTAGTGATGTATGGAAGTGAAAGCTGGACCATAAAGAGGTCTGACCGCTGAAGAATTGATGCTTTTGAATTGTGGTGCTGGAGGAGACTCTTGAGAGTCCCCTGAACTGCAAGGAGAACAAACCTATCCATTTTGAAGGAAATCAATCCTGAGTGCTCACTGGAAGGACAGATCCTGAAGCTGAGGCTCTAATACTTTTGCCATCTCATGAGAAGACTCCCTGGAAAAGACCCTGATGTTGGGAAAGTGTGAAGGCAAGAGGAGAAGGGGATGACAGGATGAGATGGTTGGACAGTGTCATCAAAGCTACCAAAATGAATTTGACACAACTCCAGGAGGCAGTGGAAGACAGGAGAGCCTGACGTGCTCTGGTCCATGGGGTCACAAAGAGTCGGACACAACTTAGTGAGTAAACAACAACAACAACAACAACAACAACAAATCTTAAATCTACTTGAACAACTGGATCATGCACCACGAACTCATCCCAGGGCTCTTGATCAACGTGTCAAAGTTTGGATACCATCCCCTTCCAGAAGCGCAGGAAAAAATTCCCCTTCATCAGCCCAAACAGTCAATGAGTTTTCCAAACACTCCTGCAACTTTGCCAAGGAAAATATTGCAGCTATCTTGTTGATAAATGTGAGTAAACTACTGGCAGTAGACTGCTGACTGCCCAGATCTCATGCCCAAGAAGCATCTTAAAGGCAGAAATAGTTTATTCTTTGCCTGGACCTCAGTGCAACAAGATCTCAAGGGAAAAATGCAAGTTTTGAAGGTACCTGCCCCCTCATCCCTGAAAAGTAGTTCTGCTTGACGTAGAAAGCTAAATTCCTAATTTTAAGACCTTCCATGTTCCTCCACTTGAGGGCACAAGTGTACCTGTCCCAAATTGTCGCTTTTTTGCATTGGTGTGTGACCAGGCTTCATCCAACATACAATATACCCAGCACCTCATCAGTTAGTTATGAGTCACTGTGTCAATTTATGTGATGCCTCTTATAACTGCAGAGCTGGAAGGAATCATATGGATCATCGAGTCCATCCTCTAGCAAGGAGGCACAGAGGGGAATCAAACTCTGCACCTCTGACTCCACAGCCAGATACCAAAGCCACTGAGCTATCCAGCAGTTCCATAAACACTGATGATTTTGGCTTTTATTTTACAATTGAGATACTGAACATTATAAACACAATGCAAGCCAATACTTTAACCATATTATATTTGTTCTCTATGATTTAGTGATGCCATACCTCTATAATAGTTCCAGTAATTAAAAGTTATAATTACATTGCAGTAGAAGAGAGATTATCCCTTGTAAAATTATAGGAGTAATATAGTGTAGCCGTCCTAGCTATTGGAGAAAAAAACTAATTGCAAGGAATGTGTTGTTTCTAACTAGTTACTTCTAAACTCTGGGTTAAACCAGAAACTGAGGGGGCGGGGAGGGGAAAAAAAGGAAATGCCACTGAATGAAGTAAGAGAGGAAATTCATTGGGAGTCAGAAAAAGGAAAAGATAAGCAAAATTGGATTTCTGCCAGCCATTAAAAAATGGCAGCTGCATCTGTGAATACTGAGTCATACTTAGAGCCCCATAAAACACCATATAAATGATATATGAGAAGAAAACTCATACACAGCATCTTACATTCGTTAAATGACTCAGTCTTTAAGTTCATATCACTACCAAATCATGTCCTATAAAATGTAATTGATTTAACTTTTGTGTGTTTATTTCCCTTTTAAGAAATGCTAGGTGAGATGAAACATTATTCTTATGACTCTGGAAGATTCTCTGTAGCTGGGCTTGAAATCCTGCTCAGTGTTAGCCCCGTTTCTCTTCCCATCCCCCAAACATTTGGAAACTGGTATTCTCTATTTTTTGTTTGGCAGAGGGCAGACAGGCCCACACAGCTCCATTGCCCTCTCATTTACCCTTTAGCCATCGCTGCAGCCGAGTATGTGACTTGTCTCCATGGAAAAGTTCTGGTCCCCAGATGCAGGCCCTGGATGCA